ACAACAAATATCCCCCCGTACAGGCGAAACAGACGTTCGGGGCAAGTGCTGTTGGCGAGCACCTATAAAGACCGGCACAGTATACGAGGCGGTTGGGTGGCCAGCGCCACGCCCGACCGACTTTGTCTTCCCGGTGGCGTTGTTTACTACACACCGCTACACCAGGTACTTATTTGAGGCCGAGTCGACCTCCACACACATTCACACGCACGCACACACGCACGCACGCGCACGCGTACTGTATCTCCTTCACCAATCGCCCCTAGTGGTGGCGAACGGGAATGAGTGGAAGGAATGGGGTAATTCGCATGTTGGTTTTTATTTACTGATTACAATATCTCACCGGGATAATCCCTCGAGATTGAACAGCTCGTTTGCAAGAATGTTCAGGGTTGTCAAGTGACACATACACAGCAGACACTTGGTGATACGTGGATAAATATCTGACAAATGCAGTCGTCGCCGGTATGAAAGTTCTTTCTGGTTCTTTTTTGCAACGTTGTTAAAGCTGGCTCTGAGTAGGCATTGTTGGCGTAAGGCCCTACCACTAGAGTACAAAGTATAACTATCTAGACTAAACAGATATTATTGTACACCCATATTTCAATTTAATCCGACGAACATGTTTTTGTAAATGTTACGAGGACAACATACGGTGATGATGTAGGATCTGGCGTTGAGAATAATTTGATGAATACCGTCTCGGACCGTTCCGGTTGTAATTAAGAAACTGAGTAGGCGTTTGCACAACGTAAAATACATTCATATAGTGTTAAAAAAACCATGAACAATAGCTGCGAGACAGCGCGCATGAACGTCACCCTGCAATCGAACGCACAAATACAAAGCGAACATCGTCATCATCATCATCACCACCAGCAGCCATGGAAAATCCACTGCCGGACGAAGCCCTCCAAAAATCGCCACCACCTCTCGATTCCGCGATGGAGTAATCCAACCGGTCACCTGCGCGCGATTTGGTTTGATCGCTCTGTTTAAAAACCGGTTGAGGTCCTTTCTCGGACGCATTCCCGTCCCTTGGCTGTCACTCCGTTATCATCCCGGGCCATCGTTCCTCGTTACTTTTCTTCACAGTACGGATGGTGTCCTTTTTAACCCGCGCGTGTGTCTCTGACCCGTGCTTTTGTTCCGCTGTGCTATCTCTCAGTGTAATGCTATGCCACGCGTCTGCCCTCGCTAATTTGAAAACTTAACATAAAAAAATCCTACCGATAAAGGCTGTGGTGACCAACAATCACGCCCCCGACCTCCTCGTCAAAGGGACTCATTTGAGGCCGAGTCGACGTAGGAGAGGCCCGTGAGTGGTTCCAGCATTCGCCATCGCTGTTGGTATTGAGCGGCGGCCACCCGAGTTGGATTCCCCGCTCAAGATACATAACGCGCACACGCGCACGCACGCACACACGCACGCGCGCACAGCAGTTGCAAATTCCGTTTCGCACGCGTGCATGACTTCCGCGCGGGGCGGGTATGCGCCGCGCGCCATATATCAGACGGCAAACGCGACGATTCGTACGGTCCCTCGACTCGACGTTGCACGTAAAGGCACTGTGGGGGAGGGGAGGGAGCCGGAGCGGGGGGGGGTCGGTTAATAAACGTTATTTTTAGGAGGGCACGCAGTGTGAGTCCATTTTTTTTTCCGCAGACGGGGCCTGTTGAAGTTTGGTGTTGCGTGTTTTACGCGGTCTCTACAGGGCCACGCTTTTCTAAAGGCGCGTGTGCTAAGGAAGCCATGTGTCCCCCGTGCAGGCTTGCCCGCTCTCTTAGGTCGACTCTGCCTCAAATGAGTGCCAAGTGCGGTGTGTAAACACCGCCGTCGTGTTGACAACCCACCCTTTCGTGTGACTTGCCGGCCTTTATCGGTGTTTCTGGCTACCTGCACTTGCCCCAACAGTCTGTTAAGGCTATAGGGGGATATTTGTCATGCAATAAAATGTAAGGTTTGTGCGTTGTGGCTGTACGCTGCCTGTCACGATTAGCGTGATCCCTGTCGTCTTCTTCTTACGTGACAGATAATGTCACGCAGAACCTAACCTCACCCACACACGTTCAATCGTCACCACTAAAGTACCATACCACACACACACACACACGTATAAAAGACACAATTCCACAAATATTACAGAATCAAGCGTAATCACGACAAAGAAAGACAAAGTCCTTAACTAACTGTTGGGGCAAGTTCTGTCAATCACCTATTAAAGGCAAGTCAAACGGGAACACATCACCGCTGATGTTTACACACCGCACCAGGTACGCATTTGAAGCTGAGTCGAACTAGAGGAAGAATCCAGGGCCGATTCAGATACTCGTCACCGATGTTGGCTATGGGTGGAGATTGAACTCGGGTGGCCGGGTCCGTAGCGCAGTGCGCTAACCACTACACTACTGCTCCCCACACACAAAAAAAACATAACACACGCACACTCCAACATCATTACCCCAAAAATATGACACACTCCTAAACAAAAACACACAAATGTTACACACACACACTCAACTTTAATCACACAAATAACAGACACAAAATCCATCAAGCATCATGCCCGAAACGTCAAAAATGTTGTAATAATTATGCCATCCATAATAGAGGTTTTGTTGGGTTAGATCGCATAAATATATTGGTCGCGAAAGCCTACGTGTTAAATTATAATGCCAGTTATCCACGCAGAAAAGCGTCGCTGAGTCTCGAGTCTACTTCCAACGCCTACCACACAACCTGGTAAAACCTCAGTGAGACACCCATCCCAATCCTAAACGGGATCACCTCTTCTTAAGCATCCGAGATGGGGCGGTATTTAAAGTGATTTTGGTCGCAAACAAAAATGTGAAACCGTAGCATCGAACCTTATCACCAGCAGATCACGAAGGCTCACTCGCCAAACCGTCGTCACCAGCATTATAAATTATTCACCACAGTCGCCGATGAATGATTGCATCTGAATTCGGGGGGAGGGAGGGCGGGCGGCAATATCACTGCAACGCAAACAACGAAAGCGAGTTGATGTAAAAAAGCACACACACACACACAAAAACTCAAACCAACACAATCATCACAATTCACTTACATCTCTGACAACCCAGACACTTTGCCTACGATGTAAAACGATAACGACAACGACCGTACGAAATTTGCATCACATTCGCAGACGCACGCACACATCCACAACGACAACAACAACCGCCATTCCCTACTAAGTGGCGGTGACATTAGTACGGCGCTCGTGCCAGGCTATGTGCACACACACACATGGGCCGCGTGACGATGCCACCACTGCCAGCCACCACCGAACAGACAACAATACCATCACCAAGGCCGCCTTTAGCCGTGTATGGCTCCGACTCGCGATGCCTCGTCAAGGATATATACTGTGGGGGGGTTGTGGGGGGGTGGCGCGCGATTAAAGGATGCAAGCGCAGCAGCGCTCGCCCACGATCGTTTCGCTTTTCCACCACAGCTCATTGTCAAGCATGGGGACCCCCCCCCCCCTGCCCACGGCGCGACTCCGCGTTGAGACGCCTCGCCGATTCGCGCCGCCGCCGCCGCCGTCATCTCTTGCCTGCGTCTCTCAAGGGCTCGCTCGACTTCCACACACCCCCCTCCCCCGCCCCCGCATTAAAAGAATGAATGTTTACCATAAATCTGCATTTCCATTATCGGCCGGATTTACAGCCTTCATTACAAAGATAACGCGTGCGCGTTCAGAGGCGCGCCGTGCCCAGGAGTCGCGCGTAGTGCGCTGTGCGCGCCCGCGCGAGAGAGAGGGCGATCTGCGAGCGCGCAGATAGCCGTGCGCGTGCACACAGATACACACACACGCGTGTGCGCGTGCACACAGACACACACACGTGTGCGCGTACACACAGATACACACGCGTGTGCGCGTGCACACAGATACACACACACGTGTGCGCGTGCACACACACACGCATCTATATCGGTGTAGGATGGTTGTGTAATGTGTGTGTGTGTACCGGTGGTGGGGTCGAGCTCGAGGAAAATGTCACGAGGAGATGTTTTCGATGTTATGTTAAAGCCTTTCACGTGAAGCCGCCGCTCATTTTTATTTATTTGCGGGGGAATGACCGCACGGGGAAGATCAAATTGGAGTCCATGTGCTCGAATGCGTAGATTCCCCCCACCCCCGCCGCCCCCCCCCCTTTCAAGTGAAGCAAGTTCGATCGCGCATCGTTACGTTGAGAGAATTCGTTACGCAACAGCACAGCGCGACAGCCCCCTAAACATAAACGCACGGATGAAGCCTTCTTCCGATTTAGCCTAAATAATAATCCCTAAAACATAACTTTGGTTCCTTTTATATAAACCGGACGTTTCAATTGTGTTTCAAGATGACTCCACGCTTGTTGTTACGTGAGCGCTTTTATAAATAATCAACCGATGATAAATGATGATGATGATTGCTACACGCCGAACGTGAGATCTCTTTTCGGGGGTGTTTTTTTAGATAAAAAAAATATATAAACAGGGCAGGCACATCGCTTTGGCATCACCTCCGCACGCTTACGCGCCATATTGATATATGGGAATTTCTGCTATCGATCACATGACCCGCCCAGTGCCCGGCTTGCCTGCTTGCAGATAAATTACGTGTCATCTCTAGGAGAACGCTGAACCTCCACCCCTCATCCCTCTCCCCCTCCGCTCCCAACAACCCCACACCCCTCGACCCAGCTCCCCTTTTCCCCTTCTCATCCACACCCCCCTCCAGCATAACCACCACCTCCTCCTTCTCCACCCATCTCCTTTAATTCAGAATTCTGACCTCCGTACGAGCGACGTTCACGCCCTACCTCGCCGCAAAATGAAAACATCACCCGGGGGTCCCTGAGCTGTGTCGGTGTTGTGCACAGAGAGACATCAGTCTCTCTTCATCTCTCTCTCTCTCTTTATCTCTCTCTCTCTCACGCACGCGCGCGCGCTCTCTCGCGACATGGAGCTGGAGGAGAGGGGCTGCGGAGGAGGAAGTGGAGCAGCAGCAGCAGGAGGAGGAGGTGGTGGTGGTAGCCACCACCACCACCAGGGCCTCTACCTCCCTGCCTGTCACGGCTACTGCGACCTGGGAGCGGTGCCTCCTTTCCTGCCCGCAGTTCACTACCCGTACCCCGCGCCGCCCGCTCTACCTTCGGGCCGCGACGGGGGCCCTTTCAGAGCCTATGGGCTCCAGGACGCAGCCATGAGACACTGGGACAACAGATTCTCCGGAGACAACGTCGCCATGATTCAACAGCACCACCACCAGCAGCAGCAGCATCAGCAGCAGCATCAGCAGCAGATGCAAGCGGCGCGATGTTCGGCGAGCGATGGGGTGGGAGCTCACTCGAAGGGCGGCCGAGTGGGCGTCGAGGCGGCGGTGTTCGGCGCCATCGGAGCCGGGTTCGCCGCTTCGGTGTGCGGAGAACTCCCCTCCTCATCCTCTCCCTCCTCCTCTACCGCCGGACTGCAGCTACAACAGCTACAGCAGCAGCAGCAGCTACAGCAGCAGCAGCTGCAGCAACAGCAGAGACCCGCGCAGCTTGGGCGCAATGGTGTTCTACCGCAGGGCTTCGATCAGTTTTTCGAGTCGTCGGCTTACGTCGGATACCACCACCACCACCATCATCACCATCAGCAGCAGCAGGAGCAACACGGCTCCGGCAGCTACGCCGCCACTGCGGGGGGGTCCCTACAGGGCCAGTCAGGGGGGGTGGCGACGGCGGCTGCGGCGGCTGGAGGAGGCGAGGGCGGGCAGGCGGCGCGGGCTGCCGAGAGGGAGGAGGGCGACAGCGGCGCGGAGTCCGGCGGCGGCAGCGCGGCGTCCGCGTCGCCGCTCGCCGCGCGGCCCAGCGAGCAGAAGGCGTGCGGCTCGGCGGGTACGGGGGGCAGGGGGGGGGGGTGAGTCTAGTGGGGGGGGGGGGGGGGGGGGGGTCAGTGGCCTTCCAGCTGCAGCACCTCCTGCATACTCGTAGAGGGGGGGCAGTATATGTGTGTGTGTGCGTGTCCATGCGCATACATGGACACACGCACGCGCGCGCGCACACAAACGCAGGGGTATATATACACACTGGGGACACGTGCACGTACACGTACAGACAAACACGTACAGAGACAAAGATGCCCCCCGTAGAGGGATATGTAGGCTGTTGGGGCGAATGTTGTTAGCGAGGAGCATCTATGAAGGCCTGCACGGTACACGAGGGGGTGGGTGGCCAGCACTACGCCCGACCGGCTTTGTCCCGCTAGTGGCGATGCTTACACACCGCACCAGGTAATCATTTGCAGCTGAGTCGACCTAGGGGATGCCCAGTACCCATTCAGATAATCGTCACTGGTGTTGGTGGGCCGTGAGCGAGCATAGAACTCAGGTTGCTGGGTTCGTAGTGCAGCGCGCTCATCGCTAACACTACCCCTCTCCCTGACATACATACACACACAGAGAGAGAGAGACTCCATCACGCACAAAACACACACAAGGGCACAAACGCTAGCCCACAGGGACACTCGCACACACAAAGACTCCTTCACTCCAGCACGCGTACAAGGAGGACCATCCCCATACACACCGCTTGCACGGGGACACGCCCCTACTAATAACACCAAAACAGAAGACCCCTTCCACTCCTCGCATCAGCATACAAACTCCATCACATACACAGCCCCCACACACAGAACCTCTTACATGCAGAGCATCACACCCCCCCTCACAGAGCCCCCCCCCCCCATATATAGAGGGAACCGTCATACATACGCATGCACCAACCCACCTCCCTACACAACAATAGCACACACACACGTGTACCCCCATACACACATATATCAACCCACCTCCATACACCACACAACACACGTGTACTCCCATACACACGCATCCATCAACCCACTTACATACGCAACAATAACACACACGTGTACCCCCATACACATATGCATCAACCCACCTCCATACACCACACACACACGTGTACCCCCATACACACACACACATCAACCCACCTCCGTACACAAATATGAATCCCAACAATAGCACACACAAACGTGTACCCCCACATACACACACATAGAAACCCCATGCACACACATATACACAACGACCCCCTCTACAGATATACGCACAGGACCCCATCTACATGCATAGAGACCCCACTCTATATTCATTGGAACCCACAAACAAAACAAAGATTCCCGTATAGCCTTAACAGACTGTTGGGAAAAGTGAGTTAGCGAACACCTTTGGAACCCCCACACACACACGTGTACCCCACCCGATTTCGCATACGTACATAGGAAGCCCCCCCACACACACACACACATAGGAAGCCCTGTACACACACCCAGAACACACAAACACACACACATTCAGACACCGATAACACACACACATACACCCAGAACACACACACACACACTCTCATTCAGACACCCAGGACACACACACAATCAGGGACCCCCAGCACATACACACACACACCTAGCATACATAAACTGTTACACCGAGCTCACAAACACACATAGCCCCCCACCCCAGAACACGTACACACTGGGGCACCCAACACACACAATCTGGAACTCCGAGCAAACACACACACACACAGACCCTCAGCACACACCCACACAAACAGGGACACCCATAAACATTCACACCGGGTTCACCCACCCGTCTCTTCCGGAATTACACCAACCTGCGTAATCCCACGTATACACACATCGCAATGCGTGTTCTTGTCAACGTGTGTGTGTGTGCTATATACGCGTGCGTATGTGTTTACATGTCAGTGTGTGTGTGTGACCTTCCTGTGTGTGTGTGGCAGTCATCTCAGTCAGTCATCCCATGGCACCTGGGTCTGTCCCGTGACCTCCTGCCATCGAGACTTTCGACACTTCACGTGGCCTTAAAGTGCACGTAGCCTGGCACAAGCGCCGGGGAGACATCACCGCCACTTAGTGGCGAATAGCCTTTGTTGTTGTTGTGGCGTTCTTCCTATAGGTGGCTGGCTAACAGTACTTGCCCACAATGGTGTGTCAAAGGCGATAGGGGGGGGGAGGGCATCTTTCTCTTTGTTGTGGACGTGGTTGCGAGAGTATTTCTTCCCAGTCTTCCCACTCCACGAACCCATAAGCACCTGGGATCCGTCTCGTGACCTCCCCTCATGTCAGCGAGCCTTCGACACTTCACGTGGCCTCAAAAGTGCACCTAGCCTGGCACAAGCGCCCTTGGTCACGTCACCGCCACTTGAGTCGGCGAACGGACCCGTTGTCACTTGCGCTTTAACCGCACACACGGAGTAAGCAATGCACACACTTTGAGGTGCACTGTATGAACTGTAGGCAGTAGCGAAGCCCATCCAGACATTGGCACATTTCCCGCATTAAAAAAAACCCACAGTATTTCAAACACAAAGATAAAGATCCCCCTTACAGCCTTAACATACTTTTGTGGCAAGTGCTGTTCGCAAAAGTAGCACCTATGAAGGCCGGCACGGCGCACGGGGAGGTGGGGGCCAGCACCAGGTTACTCACCGCAGCAGATTACTAATTTGCGACTGAGTAGACCTAGCGGAGGCCCAGGACCGGTTCAAGATATTCAACAGCGGTGTTTGGTGGCGGTGAGCGGGAATCGAACTTGAATCGCCCGGTTCGTAGCGTAGCGCAACGCAGCGCAAACCGCTATACTACCGCTCCCCACATTTTCACACACACACAGAGACACTCTCGCACTCACGGATATGGAAAATGAGACATTGGGCCGCGTATCAGCAACGTGCGTTGTTGTACGGCGTCTTCTCTCGCCCGACTGTTTCGCACGCGTGCAAACAGTACGAATACGCTTTCGTTGGTTAGCCTTTCCTAAAAAAAACCATATCCATCCTCCTCGGCCGTGCACATTGCAGCGTTTAATGTGTGAGTGTGTGTTTTTCTTACTCCCGTCTACAGCTCCATGCGCCTTGCAGGGGATCGGAGTCTCTTGGGCTCCGATTCACGAATCCCGTTGCGTGTGTTATTGGCGAATGTTTATTGTGTGTGTGCCTGTGGGGAGCGGTAGTTGTAGCGGTTCGGGAGCTGCGCTACGAATCCGGCAACACGAGTTCGATTTCCCGCTCATGGCCACCAACACCAGTGACGATTATCTGAACCGGTCCTGGACTTCCCCTAAGTCGGCTCAGCCTCGAATGCGTACCTGGTTACGATGTATAAATATCGCCACTACGGAGATAAAGGCAGCCGGGCGTGGTGCTGGCCACCCTCGTGTGCTGTTACGGCCATTATACGTGCTACTCGCTAACAGCACTTGCCCCACAAGTATGTTAAGGCTGTACGGGGGATCTTTGTCGTGTCTGGATTATTGGACAAATATGCGCCGCCGGTGTGTGTGTGTCGTCTTCCATCACCAAAACAATGGTTGGATTGAGTCTCAAATTCATAAAGGCGACGATGGGCTAAATCGATTTCAATCCTTTACGTAATCGGCCGATGAACGTAATTTTCTGTATTGGGCCACCACGCGCCTGTCTCATTGTTCGGAACGGATGGCATGGCCCGACCCCGTCGTCGGGGGAATACATCTGGCGACATGTAACGGGGGGTCTGGCGACATGTAACGGGGGGTCTGACGACATGTAACGGGGGGTCTGACGACATGTAACGGGGGATCTGACGACATGTAACGGGGGATCTGACGACATGTAACGGGGGGTCTGGCGACATGTAACGGGGGGTCTGACGACATGTAACGGGGGGTCTGACGACATGTAACGGGGGATCTGACGACATGTAACGGGGGGTCTGACGACATGTAACGGGGGGTCTGACGACATGTAACGGGGGGTTTGACGACATGTAACGGGGGATCTGACGACATGTAACGGGGGATCTGACGACATGTAACGGGGGATTTGACGACATGTAACGGGGGGTCTGGCGACATGTAACGGGGGGTCTGGCGACATGTAACGGGGGGTCTGACGACATGTAACGGGGGGTCTGACGACATGTAACGGGGGGTCTGACGACATGTAACGGGGGGTCTGACGACATGTAACGGGGGATCTGACGACATGTAACGGGGTATCTGACGACATGTAACGGGGGGGGGGGTGGGAATTGACGTCTAATCTTGCGCGATGGGTTTTGAAAAATCTGCTGAAGACGTGAATCTGGTTCGTAACTTTAGATTTCTTTTTAATTTCTGGTATCAATTCGCGATGCGAATGGCGGCGCTATTGCCATATTCATCGTTGCAGGCGATGCCCCCGTTCCACATTAGTGGTGAGAGGGGATTGGAATATCACCCGGCGACTGTACCTTTACTCTGCTGATGAGACCCAGATGGTCGAAACCAGCACAAAGATTGCCTGCTTCAACGAATGTCGCTGTAAACCGTTGGTCCGGAAAGCCACTTCGGCCGATGGGCTTTAAAAAAAAGCAATTGTTATCCTTCGAGACTACATTTTTGTCTCATTATTTAGGCGTGCATTTATTATCTTGTTGGCAATTGTTGAGCTTTGTTTTGTTTACTAGCTATTAATATATAATATATTTAATTAACGTATTACTTTTCTCGAGCGCCGTCGATCACGTGAATTGTCACTCACAATCGCCGAAGGACCACGGGCAAGCTTGTGAAGTCAGCAGCCACGGGGCGAGCCGGCTCCAACAAAATTACTCCGAGCTCCGCAGTCCTCTATAAATATATCTCAAGATGTGCTCAGCCAATGTGATTGATGGGACGAATCCGGTGCACCCCGAAAAAAAGCCCACGCGTGCAAGGGGGCAACGCGCTATTCCATACAGCAGGGACAGATAATGTCACTTTGCTGTACTGCATGCTTCTGGCATCTCGACGCTCGCGAGTGAAGGGAGTTGCACAACATTTCGTGTGACCCACCAACCCGTGATTACAGGCCCCGTGCTTAGCCACCACTCTCCACACGCGTGTAGCGAATATTCACCGTTGTCTGTTTACTCCTAAACATCGGACCGAGAGTGGTCACGAGCAATGTTCTTTATTTAGCCATGGAAATGTAAGAGTCCTAGGACTCGTCTTCAGAATACTGTGACTGGAATCTTTCGGCCAATTAATAAATAGGTAGCCAGAGTAAACGGAGAATACCCATACTTATAAGGGGATAAAACTATTGATCACTGATCGACATCGGCTTTGAACTCAACAAAGTAGTTCTTTTTTTTTATTAACGATGCACGGATTACGCTTATAAGTGTCACGAAGCTATTCGCAAGAATATCAAACTGACCGGTTGCGTCATCCACGCTCTTCTTACGAGAATGCAGCATTTGTTAAGTGCATTACTTTCGCATGCCTCCCCACTCACTTCGGGCACACTTAGAACGATTTAATCGACGACGAGTGAAACTGAAGTAACCATCCAAGCGACTTAGATTTGACGATTCCCATGTCTCCGGCCTTACGAGAGACCGTTTTAGCGCCCACGTGTAGAGTCGCTTCGCTCAAATCCGGACCACGCGCGCCGGCGATGATTGATGGCGCTACACGGCAGAGCATCTGCGCGCGTGGGGGGTGTGCGAATTTAGGGGGGGCACATGGGTCCGTGCGTGTGTGCATATGCGCCTGTGTGTACGTGTGTACGCGTGTGCGGTAGTGTTGGCCGCTCACGGCCGCTCACGGCCAACACCAGTGATGATTATTTGAACCGGTCCTGGGCCTCCCCTAGGTCGACCCAGCCTAAAATGAGTACCTGGTGCGGTGTGTAAACATCGCCACTCGGTAGACAAAGACGGTCGGGCGTGTTGCTGGCCACCCACCCCCACGTGTGCCGTTCCGGCCTTCATAAGTGCTCGCTAACAGCACTTGCCCCAACAGTCTGTTAAGGCTACATGGGGGATCTTTGTCTTTTGTGTGTCGGCTTGTCTATTTTGTTTTCTTTCCCTTTCTGCGCACGTGTGTGCCGCAACAACAGTCGGTCGGAGCCCCCGGAAGAAGCGCTGCCCCTACACCAAGTTCCAGACGCGTGAGCTCGAGCGAGAGTTCTTCTTCAGCGTCTACATCAACAAGGAGAAGCGCCTGCAGATCTCACGCCTCCTCAACCTCACCGACCGCCAGGTCAAGATCTGGTTCCAGAACAGGCGCATGAAAGAGAAGAAGCTGAACAGGGATCGAATGCAGTACTTTGCGGCCAACCCGCTGCTGTGAAGGGCTGTCGTTGCTTGTCGGCGAATGTCTCTGTGTGTCTGTGCGTGTTTGATGCGTGTGTGTGCGTGCGCGTGTGTGTCCGTGTGCATGTCAGTGTACGTGTCTCTGTTGTAAGCGGTTAGCGCGCTGCGCTAAGAACCCAGCAACCCGAGATCGATTATTCCCGCTCATGACAACCAACACCAGTGACAATTATCTGAACCGGTTCTGGGCCTCCCCTATGTCAACTCAGCCTCAAATGAGTAACGTGGAGCGGTGTGTAAACATCGCCACGGGGGGAGACAAAGGCGGTCGGGCGTGGTGCTGGCCACCCACCCCCTCGTGTGCTGTGCCGGCCTTCATAGGTGCTCCTTAACAGCACTTGCAAAAATAATCTGTTAAGGCTATACAGGGGATCTTTGTCTTGTGTCTGTTGTGTAGGTTTGCTGTGTTGTGAGGATAGGTGGCGCAGTGGTTAGCGTACAGCGTTACGAAGCCGACGACCTGGGTTTCCAATCCCCCCGGCCACGGCTAACATCATTGGCGAGTATCGCCTGGGCCTCCAACTAGGTCCACTCGGCATTAAATTAGTTGTACCTACTGCGGCGTGTGAAAACATTAAGCACTGCGATAGCCGGAAGGAAAGTATGCCAGGTGTAGTGGTGGTGGCGATGGCAGTCTCTCCACGGCTATAGTGGGGATGTGTTGTATGTGTGGACATGTGTGAGCAGTAGTGTAGCGGTTAGGGCGCTGCACTACGAACTTGGTCACCCGAGTTCGATTCCCGCTCACGGCCAACACCATTGACGATTATCTGAATCGGTCCTGGGCCTCCCCTAGGTCGACTCAGCCTCAAATGAGTACCTGGCGCAGTGTGTAAACATCGCCACTAGGGAGACAAAGGCGGTCGGGCGTGGTGCTGGCCAGCCACCCCCTCGTGTGCCGTGCCGGCCTTCATAGATGCTCGCTAACAGCACTTGCCCCCAAAAGTCTGTTAAGGCTACACGGAGGATCTTTGTCTTTGTGCACACAGGATACGACACGGTACAGCTCATAAGTGTGTTCACTGCTGATGATGATAATACGGGTGGTGACGAGAGCCACAAGTGCAAGACGGATGATGATGATAATGACAATAATTTTATGAATTATGATGGTGATAAGGATGTATAAAGTTTGTATATCATATATAAAGGTAATAATGCATTATCTTTATATAGAGATTTAATAATAATACTGTATAGACTTATATGAATATAGCCTATGAAACAATACAGCTGGCCTATTGGTTTTTAGTGCAGTGATGATTGACTTTGGGTTTTTTTCCCTTCTATTTACAAGAAGCAGCCGTTTTATCTTTTTGTACACGCGTGTGTCAATTAATTATTACATAAATTATTGCAAGATGCTGTACGCGACTGATGAATGTGCGGGTTTATTTGCGATGTGTGTAGGTAAGAAGGTGGTCACTTGTCTCGATACCAAAACGAATGATTACAGATGCGTTGCACTCTATTTACATTGTACAGGTATACCCACGCATTGACTGGAGCGGTGTTTATTTAGCTGTGATTAAAGCCATATACGAGTGTATAAATATAAAAAAAATATATATCTCCGTTTGTACAAGATAAATGCGAAAATGCAATTCACACGCACAGTGTAACAACAAGAACACCACGAACAACAACGATCACAACAACAATATGGGTTACGTGGCACGTGCTTGCGTGTTATGACGTCACAATTGAGATTACGTTGCGCGTGGTCGATGCCCGATTTCTAAGTTTTGGTGAATGCCAATTTTTGTTTTTATTTGGCGGGTGGGGTCGGATTATATTCATATTTTCTGCTGGTCGTAAAACTTAGCCCAAGCTTTCTACATCGCCGACAAAGTAAGGGAGGCAAATCGCCAATTTGAAGGTGGAGTGTTGCCAATATCGAGGCGTTATGCAGATTGCTGTGTTGCATGGAACAGTCGCGCGGTGTGTCTGTCTGTGTGTGTGTTGTAAGTTATTATATTGTCCATAACCCGTCACGTGGTTCTCGTTTTTAGTGGGCATGCTGCGATGCTTCGTGTTTTATTATAATTAACACTACTACAATTGTTATTGTTATCATTGGTATCAATATAATTACGCGCACAGTAAAGTTTATATATATTAAAGTCTCCCTTATATAAATACGATAATCCTCTACCCATTTAATTGCTGGTGAATTTGGGGGGGGGGGGGACAAAAACAAGTCCATATGTACACGATAATACATATTAAACAATCAAAACCCCGCTGTGCATTCACACGCAGAGAGAGGCACGTGACACAGTCACGTGTGTGTGTACGCTGCCCAGTTGCAAGCGGTGTGACGACACAATGGCGGCTCCCTGAAACCGATTGCAACTCGAACACACACTCAACACATTCGTCAATAACAACCCCGTGTGGCCTTTAAAAACAAAATAAGCGACGTTTCGGGCAATGACCCTTGTTCATATCCATTTTCCCAGAAAACGGACGCCTATTAAATATATATTTCACCATTTTTAAGGCCAGAATGCTCTTATTAACGAATGTGTTTAGTTGTGCACCAACTATCTACTGGAAATCTGTGAAAACGAGTTTTGTAGCTCATCGGATTCCTCCATTATAAATAAATATTCGGATTCTGATGAAGGCAGCAGTAGCAGCAGCACCAAAAAAAATCTGTTCAATCGCGGGTGCCTCATTGTGGCGATCGGAAAACAATGATGATGATTCGTGACTGTAAATGCTAATGTCAGCTCTCTAGCATCTTGGTCGCGTGGGTGCGGGATTGGTGCGGGGGGGGGGCGCAGGGGGGGGAGGGGTAGTGGTGGAGGGCGGTTATGAAACTCACAAACCATGCCAATTCCGGTGCAAGGGACCTTCTCTTAATCACCGACAATTACCGGGAGACCTTTATCCATTCGAGTGCATGAGAGTGTGTATGTTGCCTGTTTGTGTGTGTACGTGTGAGCGTAGCGGGTTAGCCGCGCTGCGCTACGAACCCGGCGAACCGAGTTCAATGATTCCCGATCACGGTCAACACCGGTGACGATTATCTGAACCGGTCCCGGGCCTCCGCTAGGTCGACCCAGCCTCAAATGATTTAGCCGCCGACCTTCATAGGTGCTCGCTAACAGCACTTGCCCAAAAAGTATTTTCGGGCTATAATGGGAATCTTTGTCGTTGTATGTATGTGTGTATACGGTATATACAATATATCAATCGTATACAGTATATATGTAGAACGAGGGGCAGGTCATCTTAAATTTAAAGAATGATATGGATAATTTTCTCTCCATCAAAGGCTTTGACACGAGGCACATAAGCGTAAAAAACCGAATAGGGGTCAAACAAACTCAACACGTTGGTCAATAGCGCAGCCATAAAGAGGAACGCGTGTATGTGTATGAAAATACGTTTTTGGAAATGGTCCTTCTTCATAGGACCTATGGAAAAGCAACTATGAAGAAGGAAAATTACCATAAACGTCACTTATTTTAGACACATATATACTCACAATATATATCCTCTTTCGGCCAGTGTTAACGACGCATATCTTGAGTTTTTTGTTAGCTGCGGTTGTACGCTTGGCTCTAACACAATATCACAAAGTAAATGTTTTTTTGCGGGATTTAAAGGTGAACTAGAAAGTGTTTAAAAACATTAGCTTAAACAAGATGTATAATTACGAACATCACGATGTGGACAATTTTGACCGCCCACTCACGTTATGTGTGTGCAATGTACGTATAACAACCACATGTACACGTGTGTGTCCAATGTACGCATAACAACCACATGTACACGTGTGTCCAATGTAGGTATAGCAAACACATGTATACGTGTGTGTGCAATGTACGTTAAGCAACTACATGTATACGTGTGTGCAATGCATGTAGAGTAACCACATGTACACGTGTGAGTGTGCGATGCACGTAAAACTACATATATACGTGTGTGTGCGCGCAATCTACTTAAAGCAACATGTATACGTGTGTGTGCAATGTACATAACGCAACATGTATACGTGTGTGTGCAATGCAAGTATATCAACCACGTGAATACGTGTGTGTGTGTAATGCACGTATAGGAACCACATGTACACGTATGTGTGTGTGTGCAATGTACTTAAAGCAACTAGATGTTTACGTGTATTTGCGTACAATGCACGTATAGCATCCACGTGTATACGTGTGGGTATTCGTGTGCAGGAGTGTGGTTTGGAATGCATTTAACTCTTGCCGAAGGGCACATCCAGAAGTATCTTTTTTTAACAAACTTCGAAAGTGTATAAACAATCCTTTAGTGTGTGTGTGTGTTCACGCTGCATATGCTATGATGTGTTTGCCATTCCTGCACCAAACGACACTGAAGAAGAGTATCTCATACCAGTCACACCAAAAACCACTGTGAAACACAAAGGTAAAACAACTTTTATAAAACGCGGTTTGCAGCTCAGAAAGTGTGGACGTGATGTTGCTCCAATTACTATCTGTTTTTTTGCTTTTACGGGAGGGGGGGGGGGCATTTGAATAAACGATGGTACATTCAAAGACATCAGAAAAATTAAGAACTGTTTGGAATTTGTCTTACACGTTGTAATTAAATAAACAGCAAAAAAGGAAGTCTATTACGTGATTTTTTTTTTACATTATTTAACTCCGATCATGTCTATATCATATACACTGGAAATTCTAAATGTTTGACTTGCCAACTGAACTGTGAATAAAAGTCGGTAAGTATCACCCCTACGTTTTAAAATAAATATTTTCAATTGTATAATCCGATTAAATTAAGCAAACACTGATTTAAAGCTTTCGTGACTCCAGTAATTCATATTCTTAGCTCTTTCGGTAAAGTCACGTTGAAGGGAAACAATAAAATAATAAAATATATTGTTTTATATATATATAAAATATATTGTTTTATATATTTGTTTTTATTTTATTGTTTCCCTTCAACGTGGCTTTACCGAAAGAGCTAAGAATATAAGCAAACACTATTATAGACTGCGTAGATCACAAATAAAACATTAAAACGGGCGGTTAACTAAGTTGCCTCTTTGACAGGTCAGGAAAGTCGATTGATACGAGGTCGCTTTCACAAGTATAGGACATGGACACATTAACGCTAAAACATTTA